TTATCTCAGGGAGAGGCCATTAACCCCATGTAAGCTCTGAGAATGACTGACATAGAGCTTACACAGGAATTAGGCCTGGGCCTCCAAAAGGCGAACAGGGCAATGGAGATGTACAGGGGACCAAACCTGTGGGTGGTTGTGCCCTATGAAGACAATCTGCTACTTTGCCCTGAATGGGTAACACATATTTTTAAAGGTGTTACATGTATTGGTGCATTGCATTGCTATTTATTTTGAATAGCATGCCAACACACCTTTGCCTGAACACATCCCATGGTAACAAACCAGGCTGGTGTAAAAGGGACCTCTTAAAGAACAATCGCCAGCTGCACCTAGCTATAAAAGAAGTTGAATACTTACCTCTCCAGAAGGTGGCAAGTGAAATCTTTGCTATATATCCTCTCTATATTCATTAGCTCAGTCTTCTGCTGCTATCGTACAATTCTCAGTGTGTTGTATACCATGTCCACTGCTGGGTGCCATGATTCTTCCTGCTAACATATGTAACAAATATAAATGCTTATGATGCAATGAATGTAAATGTACAAAATCTAAATTATTGCATATATTTTTTTTAAACCGTTAGTATAAAGCAACACAGCAGTGGAAAAAAAACCTCATGTGTGTTTAACCAGTTTATGTTTTTGGAGAATGCTGTTTTATTGCTAATATTGACCACAGTAGTCATCAGTAAATGCACAGAAGTGTATTCCATGATAGGTGGGGTTAGGATGTCTCTTTTATCTAAATAACTAAAATATGTCCCACATTCCTACCACAGAATGTTGGGAGGCATGTTAGAAGAAAATATAGGAACTGCTATTGGCTTGCTGGTGAAAATACTAGTTCCCTGGCTGCTTCAGGCTTCAGTACTTTTTGAGTCACCCTAAGGAAACAAGCATGAAGCAAGTGAAATCAGATTGAAGTCATAAGTCATGATCTGCATACTCATTCTACAACAGTGGCACATGAAGCACTTAAAGCACAGGGTCAGCTAAGGCACTAGTATTTGCAGAGGGAGATCAGTTATAGCAGCTCTGTATTTCACCCATGACTGATTTTATTTACAAAATGCATGCTAAAGGAATAAAAAGAAACAGTTCCTTTCTGTCCTAGAAATGTTCTGGTAACATGCATAAAATGTTATTTAAAGCTTCCACAACCATGCAATTTCAGCTTTGTTTATGGCACAGAAACGTTCAAAAGATTAGCCAATTTTCTTAGTCATAGGTTTAATTTTAGAATTGAAAGAAATATCCTCCCACACGATATGTGCATTCTGGATAGATCTGCCTCTTTCCATTGACAGTTGCTTTGATTCATTCCTGCTGTCCTCCATTTCGCTGTCTAACTTCATGAAATTGTGACATCAGCATACATCACGTTCAGACATTTAAAACCATTCGGTAAATAACTGTCTAGAAAATTGTATTACTTTTTAAGCAAACATAACTGATCTGTTTTAGGGAAATACATAAAATGCATAAAAGCAAGGTTCTTAAAAAACTGTATTAGAGGCTAACAGACAAAAAAATGCAAAATTTGATTATTTCAAAAGCGTGCATAAATACACCATCCAGCAATAACACACTTGTACTTAATACACTTTTGACAGATTTAATAAAGATTTCCACTGTTAATACTTAAAGTGTTACTAAACTCTGGACCCTGCAATCACATCAGATCTCTCACAGTACACTCAACATGGAAATGCAATTATTTTAGAAAACATAAACTGCTACATATCTTTTCTCATCAGCAGTTAGAGCAGTCTTGTGACTTTTATCAGTGTTCAGCAGAGCACTGGTTAAAGCTTATAGGAGGCGATTTCTCTAGGAGGATGCAAAACCAGTGATCTCTGTCTAGGCAGTGCTGATTGGCCCTGTGCTGATCACATGCACTCTTCCAAGAAATAAAAAAACCCTTTCTAGCAATACACACCAAACTGAGCATGTGACTAACTCCACACGATATGTCTTATCAGGAGATAAGCGGGGAGCACTGGAAGAAGGGGATAATCAGAGAAGCCTGGAGGAAAGAAAGAAAAGGGGGGACATGATTGAAACCTTTAAATACATCAAGGAGGTGAATAAGGTTCAGGAAGGCAGTATTTTCAAAATGAAACCAAGACCAAGAACACAGGGACATAACCTCAAACTAACAGAAGGAAATTTCAAAACTAATCTTAGAAAGTATTATTTTACTGAAAGAGTAGTTGATACTTGGAATAGGCTTCCAGCAGAGGTAGGCAGTCAACAGTAAGTGGATTCAAACATGCATGAGACAAACAGAGATCTACACTCAAAAAAAGTAACAAAAACAACCCCACACCCAAAAAATCAAAATGCAAAGATGTATAAATTAAAAAAAAAAAGGGACAGACTCGATGGACCTCTTAGTAATTTCTGCCTTCATTTTGCTGCATTGTTTATTTCTCCTGTGATCATTGCTGGATTTAACTTATTTTCCTATGATTTGAGTTCACTACTTTCTTGTAAACCTTTCATATTATATTGTTAGTAAAATATTTACCTCAATTATGAGGTTTAAGGGCCTACTAAAAAATAATTTCATATTATATCCTGTCAAGTAGACCCCCACGTTACACAGCTGGTAAATTAGGTTCTACTGGCAGAATAAATCTGAAGCAACAGCTATGTGTAGCCAGCATAAAAACTATGTCTGCTCATAGAACTGATCTACATCTGGCCAAAGATACTAGCGGTTCTTAACTTTTTACAATTACAAACCTTCAACGGATTGCCTAATATGTCTCTGTATTCCAGACTGCCCAAATCAGCATCCTCACTAGATGTCAACAGCTTGGTTTCAATTTACATATGAATAGCTACGAACAAAGCAGCTGAAAGAAAACCACACGAAATATATAAAATTTGATTTTAGAAAAATAAATACATAAATAAAACACAATACCAGCAAAATGGAAATTCAAATTTTATATTTTCTATGATCTATCAAAAAATATAAAAAAAAAAAACACATAAAGAAAAGTGCGTAAGGACTAGCCAGAGGGAGCAATCTAACGCCGACCATACCAACATATCAACTAGCAATACTGGGAAGTGGTAAGATGTCCGTGTTGAGTGCTGTGATTACCAACTAGTTAGCTGCTTCGCTGCCTTAATATGAACTAATGAAAATTATGATAATAATATAATGATTTGATTAGTTAGATTCTAAATCAACAACATTGACTTAATTATTCAATGATGCAGTCCAATACCTATTTTAATTTCCAATTGCCCAAGGGGTATGGATGACTCCGGGCTGAGAACCCCTGCACTAGTAGATAGGATGTGTACATACAATCTGAGTGCTCTCTGGCAATTGCTCAGAAGCAAACACATCCTCAAACATGTACAGTCACATTGGGTGGGTGACAGTTTGTGTGTGGACCTATGAAGCAGGGAGGAGGCATGGTGCCAACTTGTCAAGGAAAAACAATAGCAATTAGTTTTCTAACCTAGCTTCATCCAGTACTGTCTGTGTAAGATTCTTAAGCCTTGTACACACAATGAGAATATTGAACAAATGATCGTCTGGTTTTTTTGAATGCTAGTCTCATATCAAAAGTGAAGAGGTTATTAAAGTTATGATAATTCTTGTATGACAGAATAAACATTCGGAAGTGATATAATGTATTTGTATTGTATTTTTGGACAAAAACTGTGATGATTAAATGAAAATCGTACAATCTGGTATCGTATGAGAAAAATGTTCGTTCTTGTTCCCGGATGAAAGCTGTGTACAGTACTAACGATAAGATTATCATACAATCCCTTTGAAAGCAGTATTTTTTTGTACGATTTTCTGATCATGTGTACTAGGCTTTAGATATTACATCATTACCTGTTTCAGCCACACACAAAAACATAGAATGTCATTTAACATTCTATGGGAGCTTGAGAAATGTGTTTGTGATATCCCTTAATTTCAACATTAACATCAGTGTTCTTTTTGTCATTGTGCAGCTACCTTTAAATTCAAAGTAAGGTCATATTATAAAGCATATTATCATTGCATTAAGTGCCAAGTGAAAAACACTATGAGGGCAGAAATAGATTACAGTTAGATTTCATTTTATTTTCTGACTAGTATAGGGATTGCTTAGTTACTATGGGTTTCTATGTTTTTTAACATTTAAAAGAAAAAAAAATACTGCTGGAACTGCGAAGGCACCCCTAGCGGTGTTTTAGAATTTTTTGATTTGCTTGTAAATGTAGATGAAATATAATTAAAGGTATGTGAAATAATAAAGGAAATAATACAATGAACACTATAATTACACTTACTGACAATATACAACTTTCAAAATACAATATTTTTTTGAGATAAAGATTTATCAATATTGCCTGCTATTCACTGTATTTATTATCTTAAGCCAGTTTTACATTTAGTTCATTTTAACTGTTTGTAAAGGTCATCCTTTATGGCTTTTTTAGATACACTAGAGAAGGTTTAAACCCTGTGTCTGGTTATTTTTTGCTGCCTGCTCCCACTGGGGACATTTCTCTTCCCTACCTGTTCTGAAGATGCAATAGAAATTTAGTGAAAATCTTTCCAAAGTCAATTAAATTTCCATGTTTGAATGTTATCACAGGGACAGGGGTCGCTGTTGGAAGATTTCCCCTTTATTCCTGTTCTGGTGACAAATACAAATATTTTCTTTTTTTTTATAATTTTGTGTACTGAAGACAATGGTCAGCAAGGACAGCTATAGGGGAGAATCATCCCAGCAGGGACAAAGACAATATTAAAGTGTTACTAAACCCACAACCAGTTTGTATATGCAGTAAAGCATGCTTGTTATATTCACTGTGGAACCTAAGGGGTTAATTCTCTGCATTGTGTAAAAAGACTCTTTGATCCTTTCTTCTCTGATACTTTCCTTCTTCCAATGTCCCTCTCTTATCTCCTGACAAGACATATTGTGTGGAGTCACTCTGCACATGCTTAGTTTGATGTGTATTGCTAGAGAGTTTTTTTTCCCTTGGGAGAGTGCATGTGATCAGCACAAGGCCAATCAGCACTGTCGAGACAGAGGTCAGGGGTGCTGCACCCTCCTAGAGCAGAATGAAAACTCCTCCTACAAGCTTTAACCAGCGATCTGCTGAACACTGATAGAAGCCACAAGACTGCTCTAACTGCCGACGAGAAAAGGTATTTAGCAGTTTATATTTACTAAAATAATTGCATTTCCATGTTCTGTGTATGGTTGGAAGTCAGAGCGAATGCCGGGTCCTGGGTAAGGAACACTTTAACAGCTTGACACAGGGTTTAAGCCTTTCCAACTCTACCCAAAGCTAGAAAAAAAATGCATTTCTTTTATGGACCTTTTTAAGGTTTAATGAGAGATGAAAATGTCCAAAACAGTTTCATATTTTTAAAAAGAAAATAAATTGATCAATAAAATATTGGATTTATACTGATTCCGATAAATATGTAAAGAAGTAACCTTTTATTGCTATAGAGCCCTGTAGATCTCAAATAAATATGGATCCTTCATCTGAAGGAATTCTTCCTTGGGATTGTTGTTCACACTGCACAAGATTTTAGTAGCAGTCACAAAAAAGTCAACTAGAAGGCCTTCCTATAGTGTCCTTCTAAAGTTCAGACAGCAGATAAAATATTATGTTAACACTGAAATATAAACCAACATGTTTTATTCTTCCCATGATGTCTAAGATAAGTACCGCAGTCCATGGATTTATTTAATGTTCCCTAAAGATGTTTCAAACTGCAAAAAATAACCACTGACCAGAGGATTTACTGCCAGTTAATGTCCAACTTGTGTCCCTGGGCACTTTTAAGAGGCTGGTTTACTATTGAGGTGAGGACATTGTGTAGCTTTTTATTTTGGTTCCAAAATCGATCAGTGTATGTAATGCCTCATCCTCAGTGTCTTGTCTCTCTTTACAACACAAAGACTTTATTACCATTAAAGTGACCAGCTGCCCCCTTCATCGTGGGACACATGTGCTCTCCAAAACCAATGTTATCCTTGCCCTATATCCAAGAAATATAGAAAAGCAACCCTGTTTTTTGAACAAAATGTCTTTCTAAATTTACTTAATCAAAGACAGCTTGTTAGCAACTTTTAACACAGGTTGATTAATTTATAACAAAAAAAAAAGACAAACCTTAATGACTCATTTGCATCCCTAAAGCTGTGATGTAAACACAGTCTAAAAAATGTGTAAAGGAAAACATTTGTGAAATGGAGAAAACATTTAAAGTGATACTAAACACACACAGTTTAATTTACATTATCCCTTCTCTTTCTGTATGTGGATAATGGCACTGTAATTATTTTGATAAAAAAAAATCTAAGTACCCCTTTTTCTCAATCAATATACATCTGTCACATGACCCAGCTCTTTCTCAGCTTGTCTGCAGGGAAATAGTGGCAGGAGGAGCGTCTAGTCCTCTGCTGCTGGCACATGTTCAAAATAAAAAAAAAAACGGCCTTTATAATTAATATCAATAAACTGTTTTAAATTGTCATATACATATATATTAGAAAACAAGTTTTATTGTTTTTTGACAATAATATGGTGTGGGCAGATTTCTGCCATTCAGTGTCACACTCCTTCAGCCTGTGTTTTAGAATAAAGGGGAGGTGAAGCCTCCATCAATCATGATTTAATATCCCACCCTCATATTGTTTAGCTGTTTAGTGGGCATGAAGGAGGAAGGAGGGGGTGGGCTGTCATTTACCAGTGTGTATACGCCCACATGTGTGACGCTATAGTCGTATCGGGCAGTTCAGATGAGATAGGGAGGAAATGCTCAGGGTAGAAATACACTGAAAACTGAGCATGTGCACACAGTTAAGCAAATCACAAGGTGCTTGCAGCAGGGGGTCTTCTATGTCAGACATTCTTGAACACAGTCAAAAACTGTACAGGCACAGAGATTTACATGTTTATATCATCTCTGAGCCAGGCTCTCACATCAGTAAGTGCTGACCCTGTATAATGCCTGAATATAGATGTGTCCTGGAAAGAAAAGAAGATGAAGGCATTGATATATGAAGTACTTTGATCTCCCTGAGAGGTAATAAATACCTGTTACACTTAGGATGCCTTTACCTAAAATGAAAAACTATATCTGATGCTTCGTTCTCTTATAGTGTACATTGGTGTCTTAAGCTTGCAGGAGGGGGGGGGTAAAACACTGGATTCTGCCAGGGAAGAAGGTTTTCACACAACACCACCTCACATTCTTGCAGCTCCTGCAGCCTTGTGAGGTGTAAAGGAGCCTGTTGAAGGGAGGAAAAGAGGGAGGGAAGGGGAAGAGTGGAAGGGAGGAGGAGAGGGAAGATGGAGAAAGGAGAGAGAGAAAGAGAAGGAGTGAGAGAGAAGGTGGAATAAGAGGGGGAAGAGGAGAGAGATGGAGGAGGGGAGGGGAGGTAGGTAGAGAGGGGGAGAGGGAGAGAGGGAGGGAGAGAGAATGGGGAGTGAGTGAAGGGTAAGAAAGAGAGAGGGTGGTTTCATGTACCCAAAAACACACTGTGTTTTCAGATCCATGGGGGTGTCATTAAAAAAATAATGGCACCACTGCGTATCTGTTAAAGAGCACCTGTGGGTATGGAACTCATGTGATATAAGCACATTCCTGCACTACTGTAGTATAAACATAAACCTAGCCCTAGGTATGATCAATTGTATAAGTACAGTGGCCAAATGGTTAGCACTTCCGCCTGGCAGTACTAGGGTCGTTAGTTCCAATCCCAACCACAGCACTATCTGCCTGGAGTTTACATGTTCTCCCTGTGCCTGCGTGGGTTTCTTCAGGGTACTCAAGTTTCCTCCCATGCTTCAAAGACATTCTGGTAGGTTAATTGGATCCTGTCTAAATTGGCCCTAGTATGTGTATGTATGAATGTAAGTTAGGTATGTTAGATTGTACACCCCTTGAGGGTTAGGGACTGATGTGAATGTACAATATGTATGTAAAGCGCTGCGTAAATTGACGGCGCTATATAAGTACATGTAATAAATAAATAATCAATTACAAACAATTCGGATACAACTGTTGGAGCCATGGAAAGTCATTTACCTCAGTAGAAGGAAAGCACTGTATGTACTTGCCAAGTCCATTCAACAGGTTCCACTACATCAGCCTGAGGTAAGATCAACATATAAACTTTAAGGAACATATATTATAACAGTGTTGGCTATTGAAAGCCATTAACTACAAATATAAAGTTTGCAATAAAAGTTAAGCTTGCTTACATGGCCTCCAGTTTGCAGCTAGGGAATCATGCAAATCTATGTTGGTCTACAAATTTCTACATTAGCATGAGTGTGTTGTCGATAGTTTTTGTACTCAGCTTTGAAGAAGAATTTTGGAAAACTGAAGAAGAATGACCACATTGATTATGGATGTTATCATAAACTAAACGTTTGCTGAAATTCCTCTTAGGGTCAGAAAAAAACGGAAAATTGAATCAAATACTTAACGTAATTTTCCTTTCCTGGCGCCAATCCATGGCAGCATACATATGGTAACATGCTGCCATGTTGGTGAAGAAAAACGGAAAATTGTATCAAATACTTTCCATATTTTCCTTTCTTGGCGCCAATCCATGGCAGCATACTACCACCACTGCCATGTTGGCACAAGGAAATAAGGGTTCCCAGATTCTATCCAATCAAAGACTTTAATCAGTTGTTTTTTTTTTAATTTTCAACATTGAAAAAGCTTTTTCACAAGGCACTTAAGCGCATGCAAGAGTGCAATGCAAATTATGGTCATACAAAATCATATAACAACAAGTAAAACAGTTGTCATCTGCTATATTTTTTACATCAGTTAGGCCTTCATTCTCAATAAAATCATCACTGTTATATTGAGAAGGACATGGTTTCTTTAGAACTAGATAATTTTCTTTGAAACTAAGAAGTTCATCCTTAAGTTGAACAATATAAACAGCCAACTGTGCGACAGTTTCCGAAGCTTCTGTTGGAATGTCACTTTGTTTGATTTGGCTAAACTGTTTGGGTCAAAATATGACATATCATGGTTTAACCTCTTGCCTACCGCCCTATAGCATATATACTGCTACAGGGCGTCCGCTCTGCATAAAATCACGTATATATATATATATATATATATATATATATATATATATATGTGTGTGATTTTGCAGTTTCAGGTAGGGAGTGCGTGCGTGCTGCCCTCCCCGCACTGCCATTGGTTGTAGCGGATGTCAATCACCGGATTCCAGCTGGCAATTCTCGGCCAGCACTCGGTGATCGCCGCTAAAGCTGACGGGAGAGATCTGTGTGTAAACAACACAGATCTCTCTCGTGCCAGCATGAACATGCTGCATGTCTCCTAGTGAAAAAGCACACAGTGTAAGCATAATACAAACACACAGTTAACCCTTTGATCGCCCCAGATGTTAACCCCTTCCAGTGTCATTTGTACAGTGTCAGTGCTTTTTATTAGCATTGATCACTGTATAAGTGTCACTGGAGATGTCAGTGGCCTTTAGTCAGTTCCCACCCAGTGTCAGAATGCCCGCCTCAGTCCTGCTATAAGTTGCTGATCGCCATCATTACTAATATATATATATAAAAAAAAAAAAAATGTATATATATATATATATATATATATATATATAACCATTTGTAGACGCTATAACTTTCACGTAAACCAATTAACTTACACATATTGAGATTTCTTTTTAGCAAAGACATGTAGCAGAATACATTTTGGCCTAAATTTATGAAGAAATCTTATTTTTTACATTTTTTATTGGATATCTTTTATAGCAAAAAGTCAATAATTTATTTTCTTTTCAAAATTTTATTTTTTTCTTTATAGCACGAAAAATGAAAAACACCGATATGATCAAATACCACTGAAGGAAAGCAAAATTTGTGGGAAAAAAATGACAAAAATTCATTTTTGTACAGCTTTCCATGACCGTGCAATTGTCAGTTAAAGTAACACAGTGCTGTATCGCAAAAAATGGCTTGGTCAGGAGGGGGGTAAATCCTCTGGAGGGCAAGTGGTTAAAGTTTCATTTTTTTGAGAAATTTTGTTCTAAGCTGATATTTACCTGATTAATGACTACATAAAAAACCCAGATTTTGAAACCATTCAAGGGTGTTAGAAAGGGGCTCATCTTCTGATAATTCTTCAAGCATTCTTCTTCCTTGTGAACCTTTTCTG